CAACATAATAGGTCCTCCTTTATGCCTCTGAATACCAGGGCAAAGGATAGGGAAAGATGGTTGTTGTTTTTGTTTCCTGGCTGAACTGGAAACAGCTGGGCTTAAATGGATCTGGGAGGGGGGTCTTGTGTTCTTAAATAAAATGGTCCTTGGTATCTGCTGGGGTTTGGTTCAAGGACCACTCGTGGATAACAAAATCCATGGATGCTCTCAAGTCCCATTAAATTCAGTGGTGTAGCAAAATGGTGTCGCTTATATAAAATGGCAAAATCAAGGTTTGCTATCTGGAATGTATACACTCATCCCTCCACATTTGCCTGGGTTAGGTGCACAGGGCCCCTGTGAATGTGGAAAAGCCGCAAATAACAAAAACACTATTTTTACCTGAGAGAATACCTCTCTAAGAATCTCTAGCTCCTTCAGGGCAACTCTCTGGTCACCATCAGCCAGACATTGACCACAGAATTGTGCCAGAGGAGCTACAAATGCCTAGTGGAGTCTTCTCTCTAAGAATCTCTAGGTCCTTCAGTGCAACATTTGGTTAAAGTTGACCATAAAGTTGTGCTGGAGGACCTAGATATTCCTAGAGAGAACATATTAATAAAATCCGTGAATAATCAAATCCACAAAAGTCAAAGCTGCAAATGTGGAGTTACGGGTATACTTTTTTGGAATATTTTCAAGCCATGGATGCTTGAATTCGTGGATAAAAAAATCTGTGGACAAGGAGGGCCAACTGTACTAACTTAATGAAGCTGCCTTGAATCCCATCTTGGGAGAAATATAAATTCAGTAAGTAAATATAGGTTGACTCTCCCTTATCTGAAATTCAGAAATCCAAAATTATCCACATGGGTGGCTGAGATAGTGGCTTTGCTTTCTCATGGTTCAGTGAACACAAACTTTGTCTCATGCACAAAATTGTTTTGAAATATCACCTTCAGGCTATGTGTATAAAGTGTACATGAAACATCAGTAAATTTCATGATTAGACTTGGCGCCCATGCGCAAGATATCTTGTTATGTACATGGAAATATTCCAAAATCTAAAAAACCCCAAAATCCAAAATACTTCTATTCCCAAGTATTTTGAACAAGGGATGAGCAACCTGCACAGAGCTTTCTGTGGATGGACTTGTCAGCATTATTTCAGTGACCCATCTATTTCAAATGATTAAATTATATTAACATATTTTTCAGACTTCTTAGTTTAAAAAAATCTGAATTTTGATTTTTAAAAGCTCTATCTCATCCCCATAAAATAGGATTTGTAGGGGAATTTATGCATGTACCATTGAGAGTGAGCTCAGTATTTTTTTTATATATAGCTGTGCTGAAAATCTTCCTACACTTGTAGGAGAGGAGGCTTTCTGAGGTTAAAGGAGGGGGTGGGTGGGTGGGAAGTACCATGGAGGAAGACAATTTCTGATAAATTTTTAGAGGTTTAGCTTATCTTAGTTTATAGATGACATGTTCTTGCTCTGTTTTGTTTTTAATACCTTTAAAGTGCTCTCTGGTTCACATTTGCAACTCCACTGTACACACTTCATCTTCTTGTGAGGAATTTTCAGCCAGAGAGACAACCCATCCCTGAATGCAGGGATACAATAAGGGGTGTTCTTGTGCCCCACTGAATGTGTCTTCATAAACTCATTGGCAAGATTTGCTCAGGGTTTGTGTTTGCCTTCCTCGGAAGATGAGAGATCATGACTTGCCCAGCATTAGCCAATGTTGAGCAAGGATTCGAACCCTGGTCTCTGGAATTGTAGTCCAGCAACCACAAACGACTACATCACACTGGCTCTCTCTGCCTGAAGTAGGAGTAGCTAAACAAACAAATTGTTAAATCATATTTTCTGATTGCAGTTTTCTGATTTGTTTGGGTGCATGTCAACCAGAGAAAGAAACAGGTTTGCTGCTGTAGGTTTGTTTCTCCAAGATGTTAGAAGAGAAAGAGAGGACCTACATTTGGATGACACAGGGAACAAACTGCTGAGTAAAGCTGAGAAAGAAGTCCAAATGTAGTTCAGCAACAAGTCAATTAAGTTGTGTAGTGATAAACACATACACGCAAACAAAAGCAGGTACTGGGGTGGTCATCTGGGAAAGGGGGATTTCTGATAATCTTTTTTTTTTTAAGTTAAGTGATATCTCAGTGACCTAAAACTTAGTTCAGGATACAGTCCCTTGATTTTTCACTCCCAGTATTCTCTCCTAGTTCCATTGCTTATGATACAGCTCTATTTCCCACCATGTTTTTCAGCATATATTCTGCTTTTTGCAGTGGGAGGATAGAAACTCATAGAGATAATAAATCCATTTTGGGGGGAAAAATTGGGGGGAGAAGGAATTCTCATCCCCAGGGTCACCATGAGTCAGTGTTCTGAAGAATAGTTCTGAAGAAAAGACGAAATAAGTAAGGCCTAGAATTTTTTAAAAACCTCCCAGATGTGCCACTTGCTCCAACCATTACCACTTCCAAACTCAGCTGTCTTAGTCATGGAATTTGAACCACAGGAGACCTGGCAACCTGAAGAAGTGGGCAACTCTGAACGTTAACAAATTGCAAGTGCTCTGCAAAAATTTTCAAATGTTTTCCAGGTGCATGATTGTCATAGTTCTGCACAGCCACTTGAAAGTTTTCTAGATGTTCCTTTGCTTGGAGAACTTGATTCCTGGTGTGTTGTTGTTGTTGTTACCTGTCCTCAAGACCACTGACTCATGGTGACCCTGGGGATGAGACATCTCCAAGATTCCCAATCCTTGACTCCCCTGCTCTGATCCTGTAGGCTCCCTGATTGAACCTAACCATCTGGTGTGTGGTCTTCCTCTCTTTCTACTGCCTTCTACCTTTCCCATTGTCTTTTCTAATGGATCATGCCTTCTCATGATGTGACCAAAGTACTACAGTCTCAATTTAGTCATCTTGGCTTCCAGAGAGAATTCCAGCTTGATCTCTTCTAATAACTATTTGTGTGTCTTCATGGTTGTCCATGGTATTCTCAGCACTCATCTCCAGCATCACATCTCAACTGAGGGCCTTTGCAGACTGCCAGAAATAGTGCAAATTGAGTCCACTTTAAGGGTTAGGGTTAGTGCTAGGGAGTTCTGGGAATTGTTTTTTTCCTGAGACATTGAGCCTTCTCTGTCAGAGAGCTCTGGTGCCACAATAAAATACAGTTCCCATGATTCCCTAGCACTGAGCCAGGGCAGTTAAAGTGGACTCAGTTTGCACTATTTCTAGCAGTCTGCAAAGGCCCTGAGTTGATTTTCCTTGGGTACCTGATGAGTAATCAAAAAATTATACCATCACTATTCATCAATCACTAAATCTATGTGCAAGGTGTAATACTCCTTGTTCTTGCATATGGTGTTTTCTACCAGAGTTCAGTCACAATTACTACTGTTGTTTCTGCTCAGCAATTCTCAAAATAGTTTTGAAGTACCCATCTTCTGTATTCTTATGAAGTCCAGAATATATGGATTTCTGGTCAATGTTTGGCACAGTCTGAACCCTATATTGTACTAGATATGTCTCCAGCCTTCATGTATGCAGTGGAGCAGACAGTCTTTGTTCTTTTACCCTATATAAGTACCATCAAGGAGAGATCATACTTTTAGGAAAGCTATCCTTTTAGTATGATTTGTCTCCTGAGTGAGTTTGCGAGTTCCTAGACTTACTACACCATTGTATATAATGGGACTTGAGCATTCACAGATTTTGGTATCCATGGGAGGTCAAGGATACCAAGGGCCCACTGTAGTCGCATTGCAGGGGGCTCATCAGAACCAATGGACTTCACCACCTGGAAGCCTCCATTGTTCACTCTGCCTGTGACACACTCAGTATTTGAAAATGATCTGAAATGTGCACACAAGGCCCCTGCATCTGCCTCTGTATTGGGAAAATGTAGGAAATTTTCTTCCCCTCCTCCTCCTTCCCCCCCCCCCCCCAATGAAATGTGTGAATGGCATAGGATTTTTCAGCACAGCTTGTTTCTTTTTGGCTACAACTTCCAGAACTCCTCAGCCCAAATGACCACAAGTTATGCAGAGTGGGGGGTTCTGGGAGTTGTAGAATAAACTCTTCTAGACTTTGGACTTGATTCTCAATGTCTTGACCATGTGTTGTTACTGTTGCAGTGGGATTGGTGCTGCACTTTGTAAGCGTCTCCTCCAGGAAGATGCCAGCCTTCATGTGTGCTTAGCCTGCAGGAACATGGAAAAGGCCAACGCGACCCGTAACAAACTGTTGTCCCACTTCACTCATGCAGATATCAGCATTGTTCAAATAGATGTGGGCAAGCTGGAGTCTGTCCTGCGTGCAGCTGAAGAGATCAAAATGAGGTAGGTGACCAGGCAAAAGCACTTAGATGAACTTCCTTGGCTTAGTAAGGAGTTTCTCACCTTTCCTTCTTCATTCAAATATACATTTGGTATCCCTTATCTGCAAATCCAAAATCCTTCAAAATCCAAAATTATCCACATGGGTGGATGAGACAGTATCACTTTTGTTTTCTGATGGTTCAGTATACACAAATTTTATTTCATGCACAAAATTATAAAAAATATTATGTGTAAAATTACCTTCAGAATATGTTTACAAGTTGTATACAAAACAAATGTATTGCATGCTTAGTCTCCGGTTCCATCTACAAGATATCTCATTATCTATATGCAAATGTTCCAAAATCCAAAATAATCTGAAATCCAAAACTCTTCTGGTCCAAGCATTGTCGATAAGGGAGATGCAACCTGTAGTCCTCCAAGCTTTGCAGACTGTGCCAGTGTTACAGATTTTTGCTATGAGGCTTTGACCTTGGATAAATTTCAGAATAGTATCCATCTGCTTGTAGCAAACAAATTCCTTAGAACAGGGGTAGGCAACCTAAGGCC